GGATAAAATTTTCACAATTTTGTTCATTGTACCAAGTAACACTTGCACTAAAATCGAACAGTTGTTAACATGTTGACCCCAGATAATGCCAATTTCTAGCTGTTAAGGGGCTACATTAGATTTTAGCTTTGTGCATCTACTCAGTGCAGAGGGGAGTTGTATTGGTGAGGGGAATTGCCTGGGTAGACGATGGGGAACTCTGAAGTGATCTCAGACTTCTAAAGCTTCCCCCAAAAGTTGAGAATTGTTTGAACCCTTCTTCATCTCATTGCTGTGACTTCTCTGAGCAGAGTGGCTGTGGTTTACTCCATTACCAGAAGTGTCTTCACTGTCTCATCCCTGCAATGGCTTTTCCTTATGCTGCTGCTGCCATTCCTTTATAGCCCAGGCAGAAACTGGACCCTGGTGAGGCTGAGATCCCTAAGCAGCCCTGGAGCTGCCTGGCCTCTCCTTACCTCTAGCAGCAGTTGTGGACCTGGACACTCTGCACCTGCAGGGTCTCTCTGCGTTGATTTAGACTTGCACCAGTAAAGCTGAACTGAAAATAGGCCTTGTGGAACGCTACATTGGCTTTGATCACTTTGGAGCACTTCACCTCTTCAGTTGCTGGGAGCCCCTGAGTCTTCCCCAGTGCTGCCCACCAGAGAGGTTTGCCCTTGTGTGAGTTGGGATAATAGTGGATCAGGACGCTGGAGGAGCATGACCAGCTGAGAAAGAAGCAGATGTAGGGCCAGAGATCCAAATTATTTTGGAGTTTCTTCTGCTGTTTTGAGATGGAGTCTTGTTATGTTGCCCAGGCTGTTCTTGAATTCCTGGGCTCAAATTATCCTCCTGCCTCAGTCTTGTGAGTGGTTGGATCTGTAGTGTGCCACCATGCCTGGTAGCTGGTTTGTTTTTTATTGTGAAATATTTTGGATAGGTAAGAATTAAAGCCAGGCATGGTGGTAGAAATCTGTAATCCCAGCAATTGGGAGGCTGAGGCAGGATGATCATCATGGGTTGGAGCCCAGCCTGGACTCCATAGTGAGTTCAAGACCAGCCTGAACTACATAGTGAGACCCTATGTCAAAAAAACAAAAATAAAAACCCGAGGAAAAAAAAAGAATAAAAGTTAATGTAATGATGTCTGTATACCTAGTACCAAGCTAGATTTTAATATCATGTGTTTCGGATCTTAAATAAAACATACATTGAGCTGAGATCCCAGGTCATCCTGGTTTTTGTTTGTTGAGACAGGGTCTGGCTATGTAGTTCAGGCTGTCCTTGAACTCAGCAGTCCTGCCTCAGCCTCCCAAGTGCTGGGATTACAGGCATGTGCCACCACACCCAGCTAGTACATCCTGTTTTGTATTAGGGTATTATTTATATATTAGAGTTTGTGAATAATCCCAGTTTGTTCATTCTCCAGCTGCTAAAGATTTAGATTGTTTTCAGTTTGTTGGTTATTGGTTTCCATGTAGAATGTGCTTGGAAGAGGAATGGCTGCTGTGTATGGGTTCAGTGTGTTGCGACTTTTCGCCCTTGGGTGGGACCAGAGTCCCTGCCAGTGGTGAGGAGGGTTGCTCAGTAGAAGGACAGGAGGAATGAGAAGGGGCATAATGGGAAAACAAGAAAGTATTAGTAGGGTAGTAGGGATCTTGCAGAAAAAGTAAACTGTCAGGCTGGGAATTTAGCTTAGTGACACTGTGCCTGCCTCACAAGCACAAGGTACTGAGTTTGATCCCCAGTACCAAAAAATAAAAATAAAAAGTAAACTGTCAAGTTTAGCTTTTCATTTTCTGTATTTCAGAAAAGGAATTGGTTTTATTGAGCTTTCCCAAGGGTTCTCTGCCAACTGTGCTGAAAAATTGGCCTTATTATGCTGTTTATGTGCTTTTGAGTTTTCCTGAGGTGCCACGTGAGAACAAGGAGATGAACAACTTCTTCCTTTTTATTGGGGCAGGTGAAATTTGAATGACAAAGGGATGTAAATACTTCAGTCCTGCTTGTTTAAAAATCTCAGTTGCTGTACTTTCTTTCTTGTGTGTCTTCATTTGGGAATTGAACTTAGACTTGGGTTTTCTGAAATATTAAAAAGTTCTAGGGTTTAAAGGTGTAGCTTAGTGGTACAGCACTTGCCTAGCATGTGTGAGGCCCTGGGTTCAATTCCCAGACCCACTAAGAAAAAAAAAACATTCTTACTATATAGCCTGACTTCTGCTTGTTTTGGTCATAAACTCAGTGAAAGATATTTTGTTGATACCCATTTATTAACTGCATCCTAACCATATTATCCCTTAGGTAGGCCTGTTTGCCAGAAATGAAGTTTTCTGCCAGCTTCTCTCCCTTTCTCTCTTTGCCTTTGTTCATCCTTTTGTAGTATTAAAGAAAATGTGATGGTCCAGAAGCATGTAACAAGGAGGTGGTGGGGGTGGGGGAGGCGGTGGAAAGTGTTACCTGCCCTCCATAAGCTGGTCCGAAGTCTGGATCTGTGCGCTATTAATCAGAAGAGGGCTGTGTGGTGTGGGCTGTGATAGCACACACTGGTGCCTCATGAACTGGTGTAGTTATTCCACTAACCTTACACTTAGCTTGCTTTGTAGGGAATAGGATTATTTCAGGAGCTTTTGTCCACCTTAAGGTGTTATGAAAACATTTGGGAGCCACTGCTGTATAAACTCGGTAGGTCAGGTGATTCTACCTACAAGCCTCTTCTTTTTGTGTTTTTGTTTGAGTTCAGGTCTTGCTGTGTAGTTCAGGCTGGCCTTGAATTCACTATGTAGCCCAGGCTGGCCTCAGACTCCTGCTGCCATAGCCTCCTGAGTGCTAGGATTACCGGTGTGCCACCTACCCACCACAGGCCTCTGACTAACACTGTTGTGTGGTGTTCTCTCCTCTAGTTTTCTCTGGGTTACTCCCGTTCGTTTGGTAATTTTCAGACATTTTGTTCTCAGGTTTCCTTTGTACTCTTAAAAATTATTGAGGAGCTGAAAGACCTATTTATGTAAGTTCTATCAATAGTATATTAGAAATCAAAACTGAGTAGAAAAATGTTTATTCATTTTAAACAGCAACAACCAAGCCCATTACTTTGATAGTATAACTAAGTACTACATTTTTATAAGGAGATTGTTTTTTGTTTAGGAAACATTTTAGAAGAATGGCATTGTCTGTTTTTGCACCTGGCCCGAATGTCTGCTGTTGAAGACAGCCGGGTTCTCCTTTCTGCATCTGGTCCTGTTGCCCCCAGGAATCCCACTGTGCACTCCTGAAAGAATGAAAGCAAGAAAGGCGAGAAAGGCCATACATCCTCCTGTTCTTGGGAAAGCAGTTTGATCTCATGGGTTCCCTGAAGGGTCTCAGGGACTCTCAAAAGCCCTGGGCCACACTTTGAGAACCATTATTTAGATCTCAGTTCTGTTGTTGCTTCCCTAGCAAAGCCTTCCCTAACCTCCCTCCTTACTAGTTCAAATTTTCCTTTTTTCTGATCCAGTAATACTATGTACCTTTCATTTGTAGCATTTATGACAATAGTTTTTTTTTTTTTTTTTTTTTTTTGGTACCAGGGATTGAACTTGGGACCTTGTGCTTGCGAGGCTTGCAAGGCAGGTGGCGGAGCCACTGAGCTAGATCCCTGGCCCGACAATAGCTTTTTTATGTTTAATATCTGCTTCTACTTGACTCCTTTGGATTAGGGCTCATGGGTGTTGTTGCTTTGCTCATGGTTATATCACAGGACCTTCAAATATTTTAATAAAGGAGTACATGAATTTAAATAAGACTTCTTGGATTCAATTCAGTTATGTGGTTTCTCTTAAAATATGAAGCCTTCTCTCCACACCATATACTGTATTTCTTATTTTATTTATTTTTTTTTGATTGGTTTTTCCTAAGAGTGTTGCCAGGGCGCTACACCTTGGATTTGCATAACATTCAACAGTACAATGTTTTCACCTGTCATTCCCCCGACTAGCTTCCTAGCCATTTTGAAGGCAGGGATTGTGATTTACTTATATATTTAATCCACTTCTTCATTCCCTTCTCAAGGATTCATGTATCTTTGCACATCATGGATACTAAAAAAAAGAGGTTTTTTTTTTTGGTACTGGGGATCAAACTTGGGACCTTGAGCTTGTGAGGCAGGCGCCGGAACCACTGAGCTAAATCCCCAGACCTAAAAAAAAAAGAGTTTAATGTACCACAATTTGATTTTAAAAGATGTACATACTCCAAATTCAAGTAAACATAAATGTTTTAACCAAAGAAAGGCTGAGGGTGTGACTTAATGATAAAGTTCATGAGAGCCCTGGGTTCAATCCTTAGCCCCCAATAAATAAATAAAATTTTAACCAAAGGCAAATCATGTTCCCACTACATGGATTACTGGCAGGTTGCTTATTAGTGAATTATTTTGCATATCACTTTCTTTTAGGATTATTTTCCAGGTAGTCTTGATTACCAGGAAAGGGTTATGGTGATCAGAGTCTGGATTTTCTAAAGCATCTGTTATGTATGGATACCCTACATTCACCAGATATTTGAATTATATATTGTGCTGTGTGTCGGGGGTGCTGCTGGGAGCAAGACACACTCAGTTTATGCCCTCAAGGATCTGTGGTCTAGCAGTGTTCAGGAATTGGTAAACTTTTTCTATAAAGGCCAAGGTAGTATATATTTTATTTAGGCTTTGTGGGCCCCGATGGTCTCAGTCCAATCTTCAGCTCTGCCATTGTGACCCCCAAAGTACCCAGAAACACTATGCAAATAAATGAGTGTGGCTGTGATTCAATAAAACTTTGTTAACAGAAACAGGTGGCTGATCAGATTTACCTGTCAGGTGTAGTTTGCTGGCCTCATTCATTGTTTCTTGGTCTCTGTCCATTCACATAATCATTGAGCAATCTTCGCTAAGAGTTTCATTAATGTATTTGTAATAGCTACAGTGAGGTTATAGAAGAACTGGGTCTTGTACAGTGAACAAAAACTAACTCTTCCTTTTTCTTTTTCACTCTTTTGTCCAGGACATTTTATTTCCTTACATCAAAGATAATGTACTAGAGTATCTGCAGACACACTGGGAGGAGGAGGAGTGTCGGCAGGATGTCAGCCTTCTGAGGAAGCAGGTGGGACCTTTGCCCTCTGTTCCCCTGTGTCCTAGGACGGGGTGGCTGGAGGTTCAGAGCGTGCACTGAGCATAGGGTAAAATCAGTGCCCTAGATTCACAGACGGCGGAAGTCGCTGTGAAAATCCCCAGTATGTACAGTTTGTGGTCTATAGAATTGTCTCATTCGGAAGCTGTTTACACTGCACAAAAAGATCATGTAGTTGTAAAAGCCCTCCCTCGGTGTATTGCAAAAGGTTTGTACAGTCTTAACAGGTTCCCTTAATATCACTGAGTGGCAGCACTGTGTCTTTCTCTCGCCTCCCGCCTCATGGTACAAACCCTTGCTGCCCCATTCACAGTGCTCCTGGGTCCTTTCCTCTCCACCCTTCTAGTCCTCTTACCCAGCCCATACCTGGCCCAGCCTGCAGCCTGCCTTGGTCTCATTTGCTTCACTCAGCTACCCTCCTCTTCCCCAGTTCCTCTTTTGTCTTCTTCCATGTTGTGTGCTATAGAATTCCTGTTCTGTTGATTTTCTTATCAAAGTTGCTGCAGTGACAAAGATCTTACTTGGTGCATACCACTAATTCATTGGCAGTCGGTTTCCTCACATTGGGTATCAGAATGCCCTCTGTAAATGTTTTTCTTTTTTTTTTTTCACTTCTGTGACTATACTTTTTTATTTCTGTGAACATAGTTTGTAAACAATGTCAGGAGTTAAGAATATAGTCAGATTCTTTGAGTTCGTGAAGATTTAGATTTTGAATTTTCTGCTTAATTCAGCATTAATCTGAAATAGCTCCTCTTAACCCTTATTGAAACATACATATTTCTCTTATATAAAGATACATAATCTTTAGCGGTTTTATTATATTTTAATAAGATCATTGTTCTAAATGTTAAAAGATTATACAAGATGTGGGAAATCCTAAGAGGCTATATAAACTATTCCTGTTACTTCATTAGCTTCTTATCTTTTGTTTTTTGAGGCAGGGTCTCACTATGTACATAGTTCAGGCTATCCTGGAATTCACTATATAGCCCGTGATGGCCTCAAACTCATGGTAATCCTTCTGCCTCGGCCTCCTGGGTGCTGGGATTATAGGCATGTACTTCCATTTCAGGCTCCATTAGCTTCTTTTCATTCAGTTCTAGCTATGAACTAATTCATGAGATGTTCTGTTTCTTTTTCAGTTATAGTGCAGAGAAAATGATCAAATTTAAAGTTCTGGTTTGTTGATCCTAACAAGTGAATCAACAAACCAAGTCTTCTTATGTTCTCCGGACCTTGCGCTTGCGAGGCAGGCGGCAGCACCACTGAGCTAAGTCCCTGGCCCAAGTCTTATGTTTTTATGCGCTCTCCTTTCTCATATACAGCATGCCTCTTGGTTTAAATTTCAACTTTGGCAATCTAAGAAAGGTGATGTAAACTTACTGATTATAATCTTGGTTTTTTAGGGATCATTCTTTTTATTTTGCATCACTGGGGCTTGAACCCAAGACTTCACACTGTTATTTCCCCAGCTTTTTTTTTTTTTTTTTTTTTTTTTTTTGAGAAGTGTCTCACTATGTAGTTTAAGCTGGCCTTTAACTCACTATGCAGCCCAGACTGGCCTGAAACTCATGGCAATCCTCCTGTCTTAGCCTCCCAAGTGCTGGTGTTACTCCCAGGTGTGCGCCACTATACCTGATCCTTATTTTGTTTTGAGGCAGGTTCTCATCCAATTGTCCAGGCTGGCTTCAAACTTGGAATCCTCCTCCTTCAGTTTCTCAGAGAGCTGGGATTACAGGCATGCACCACTGCACCTGGCTAGGGATTATTCATTTAGGAATCTTTTGTAGCAATTCTGTGGCTAATGATAGTTGGAGAAAATTGGTCTTTTAAAAAATATACAAGAAACAAACTTCCTGTTTTTCTGATTTAAAGGCTGAAGAAGATGCCCACCTGGATGGGGCTGTTCCCATCCCTGCGGTGTCTGGGGATGGGGCGGATGACCTTCGGCAGACGATCCAGGCTGTAGTAGACAATGTGCACTGGCAGATGTCTCTGGACCGGAAGACCACAGCACTCAAACAGCTGCAGGGCCATATGTGGAGGGCAGCATTCACAGCTGGACACGTGAAGGGAGAGTAGGTGCTCAGATGAGTGAACTTTCACCAGCCCCAAACCCAAATATGCTTCTCACTAGTCCTCACACTCCACTGTATGTTGCATGATTAGTATAATAGATAAGATCAAGTATTTATTTAATGAGTGAATTGTTTTGTTTTCTTTTTTCCAAAGCTCGGCTAATGCATTTCATTTAGCTAAATTCCGCAGACCTGCATGGCTGACTTTGCAGATGGTTGAATGACTTTTAGTCATAGTTTTCAGCAGCCTCCTTGTACATGGTAACTCCTACGACAGAGTTATATATGATCCTTAGCACACAAGTGATGGTGCTTTTAGTCTACTTCCCAGGGCCAGCAGATTACTTGCTTTGTTAGAGAAGTGGAAATCTTTGAATTATGCACCTGTTGCTTTGGGGTTACTCAGAGGATGTCAGGTCTGGCACTTTTTCTGTGTTCTTTGAGCACTTTCCACAGACCCTGAGTCTTGATTTTTGGGGGCCTACTAGCTCTCCTACCTGAGGATGCTCAAAGACACTGTATTGCTGAGCCACTCTTTGTAAGGTACTGCCATGAAGGGTTCTAGGCTGCTCCTCATGTAAACCCTCAGATCCAAGCCTGTTTCCAGCTGCCTGTGTTATATTTGTGTTTCTGTCAGATAAGAGGTCATTCATTTTTATATGTTACAAGGATCGCCTACTTTTCAAAGAGTGCATTGGAATTTCAGGATATACCAGTGATCTGGGAATATCAGCCAGTTCACTCTAAACTTTCCCAAGTGTAGAGCCAGGAGATTGCTTTCCTGGTAGTTAGCCCTTCTCTTGTTTCCTTAATTATAAAACCAGAAACTTAGCATAAATAACCTTAAACTTCTCAATCCCTGCTGTAGAATAAGAACAATTCGTGCAAATTCATACAAAAAAAAATCCAAAATAGCACACTTAGAATTAAGTGTGGTTTTATTTATTTATTTATTTATTTATTTTTGGGTACTGGGGATCGAACTCTTGACCTGACCTTGTGCTTGCGAGGCAGGCACCGGAACCACTGAGCTAAATCCCCGGCCCTAAGTGTGGTTTTAAACATGTCCACCTCTCTTTCAACTAAGGCAGCAGACTAAGCTTGTTGTATTTGGTAGGTTTCTGACATTTTCCATTTAATCTCTTGAAGACTAGTCCCACAGCCTGAGTTCCCTGTGCTTTTCACTTACTTCCTGTTAAACTGTTTCTATTACTAACTATGGAAATATTGTAAAATTGATAGAAGAGATTGTCAGGAATCTAAAAACCGAGTACCGCTGACTGCTGGGGTAATGTGAGATGATTGAAATCTGTTACCTGATTTGTTCTGAAATTTTTTTTCTGTGTAATAAAACTTAAGTTTTCTCAGTTCTCAAGAAAATGTAGTTTTGTTTTCTAGCTAATCAAAGATTTACAGCATGAAGCTCCCAGACTATAAAAAAAAATGTTTTGGGTGCAGATCTTTTTCTAAAAGCACTCCTATGCTTTCTTAAAGCACAATGGACATACAGTAGCCTTTTCTTGGCATGAATTACAACACACATAATACAGTATTATTGCTGTTGCTTTTTTGAGTTCCTTGAGGATTTTTAAAAAGTCACTTATTTCTTCCCTTTATCTGTAGTCTTTCTTTACTGTCAAAAAATATTCTTATCACTCAGATTGTTCCTTCTAATCTGCTGTGATGTTTGGGCATAGATAGAGAAGTATGTGGCATTTGTTTTACCTGGTTTTAAAGGGCCCACATGAAGTATTTATGCATTTTAACTTGGCTCTTTTTCCTCTAGGTTCTTTGCAGATGTAGTTCCTGCAGTCAGGAAGTGGAAAGCAGCTGGAATGAAAGTGTATATCTATTCTTCAGGGAGCATAGAGGCACAGAAACTGTTATTTGGGCATTCTGCAGAGGGAGATATTCTTGAGGTAGGTTACTTGGTTTATTTTCTTTTGACACTCAAAAAGCACGAAATACAGAATAGTAAGAATTGTGCAAGGGTTATAAGTTAAACCTGCATGTGGGTAACTGCATTTGTATGTGCTGATATGTGGGTTGTGAAAAGAAGAGGACAAGCTGGGGAATGCATAGGGAAGGGTGAAATAAGTTTTTGGATCAAAATCTGTTAAACTTTGTTGTACATCAGGATCACCTGAGAAGTTTGTTAAAAAATGTAGATCTGTGGGCCTTGCTTCCTAGCAAATCTGAAAGGGCAGATCTAGAGTGGAGATCTCGAGCTTGCATTTTTAAAGATCCACCTGAGGTGATTTTAGACCAGGGCAAATGTTACAACCGGCTACAATGTGTATGTAAAAACTGTCAGGTAAAAGGGCCGAAGACCAAGACCAGACCAGGCCACAACAAGCCTTTATTAGGGGAATAGATCTGCCGGGCTGTCTCTGAACAAAGGAGAGACAAAAGCAATATGGCTGGGGCAGGGAGAGTCTTTTATAGAGACTGGGGTGGGGCTTGTAGGGGCTGAGGCGGGGTTGACTGAGGTAGTGACTAGGGAATGGAGGAGCCGGTGATGTCACTAGGTGGTAGGAGGTGAGCGAGTATTAGGTTACTCTCTAGGTGGGAACAGGGGCATGCTGGGAAGAAGGGTTTGTTCTTTGGTGGGAGCAACCATCTTGGCATGACGTCACACAGGGGAAGGGGCAAGGCACCATAGGAAGAGGGCAGCAACTATACATAATAGCTGCTGAGGTGGTGGGAGACCTATCAAAAACATGCATGTGTGTAGGGAACAGGGGAAGGGGACGTTACCATTACCTCTGCAGTAAGTCCTAGTCTCCTGCGAGCCACGGCAGCACACGAGCCACGGCAGCACATGGCGAATTACAGGAAAGGTAGACAAATGAGAAGAAGCTGAGCTTTGGGTCTGATCAGTGCTGCTCTGGACAGCAAAGACAAAAGCTCCCTAGCTTGCAGCACTTTTTATTCAGTACTTGGGGAAACAGATGTAACAAGTGAAAATGCAGAGTTCAGTACTTTACATTGGGATAAACAAGGTGTAAAAAGACTGGGGGGCAGTGGAAATCTAAGAAGAATGAAGTATGCAGATGAAGATTTGGTCCCTCTCTGGCGTCTCCCGCAGGTGTGGTTTTGTCCTGGAGCTTTACAGCATCCGGGGATCACTGAGGTCTCAGTTGTGACCCGAGGCCAAAATGCAGTTATGTCTGCAATGTCGTAGCTGGTCTGTAGGCAGGAGAACTAGGCCTACTCAAATGATTTTTCCCTAGAATTATGTAGCATTGGTCCCAACACATGTGGACCGGGGATTTAGCTCAGTGGTCCTGGTGCCTGCCTCACAAGTGTAAGGTCCTGAGTTCAATCCCCGGTACCTAAATAAATAAATAAATAAATAAATGTATGTACGTACACACAGCTAGCATGTAAATCAGCTATCTCACCAGTATTAGAAAATCAGTACCCAAAAGAAAGTGGTGAAGTGCTCTTTGTTTGTATAAAATCAGGTAACAAAAAAACAGTTAATCACATTTAATTGTATTGTATTTGTAATTTCTTTTGCATAAAGTTAAAGTTTACTCTACTTGGGTGTGGTGGTGCATGCCTGTAATCCCAGCTATTCAGGAGACTGAGGCAGGAGGATTGCAAATTTGAGATCAGCCTAGGCAACTGAGAGTCCATCTCAAATTAAATTTTAAGAAAGGGTTAGGGATATAGTTCAGTGGTAGAGCACTTGCCTAGCATGTGGAACATGTACAGGAAAACAAAAGTATTCTGTGTCTTAAAAAATAATAAAATTAGGTAAGATCCAAAATAGGACTGCTGTGATAAGAACTGCATAAAGGAGTGTGTGTGTGTGTGTGTGTGTGTGTGTGTGTGTGTGTGTGTGTGTGGTGCTGGGGATTTAACTCAGGACCTTGTGCATGCCAGGCAAGTGCTCTACTGCTGAGCTATGCCCCAGGCCCCTTAAAGATGTTCTGAATGCAGCAAAGCACAAAGTAGTCTCATTTGTTTGTTTCTGCCACTTTGGAGAGGTATAGGTTTTATTTCAGGGGAAAAAACTCACTGCATTATTATGTAAGACAGTGACACATTATCAAGCACAGTGATAAATTAAAATCACCTATTACATATTTCCTGTACACAAGACAATTTCTTCTTGTCTCTCTGTGTCACAGCCTGCAACCCCTTAAGGATGGGGTGGGGTGGTCAGCAGAAGGGAATACATTTAAAACTAAAAAGAAGTACTGACCGGGGCCAGCAATAAAGCACATGCCTTAGGTTCAATCCCAGTGCCATAAAGAGAAAAAAAAAGTGCTGACAACTGAATACAGGATGAACTTATTATACATAAGTAATTTGGCCAGGTATCCTCCCTCCGCCCCTTTCTCTCTTTCTGTGCTTGGGATTGAGACTAGTTGAATCTAGCACCTTGTGCACTCTGGGCAAGCACTCCACCACTGAGCTACATTCCCAACCCTAAAATAAATATTTATTGAGCCCTTGGAGTTTGCAGAGAATATGGCTTTAGAGGTTGTCCCATTTTAATTTTCCTTTTTTTCATCTTATTTGTAAATCAGATATGAAACTACTAGTGAAACCCTTTAGTCGTTAGTCACTATCCTCTGAATTCAGATATAAACTTCTTTTCCAGTCTCTCATACTATAGGCAATAAGGTAAAAGTAGACAGGACATGATAATTACCTACTGAATTCAGTAATAAAAATCTTATTTTTCAGTTACCAAATAAGGCACAATGAGAGAAAAGGAATATGCAAAAACAATCTTAAGTTAAAAGAAAACTTATTATTTCCTTAATTTTGAATGGTCATTAGGCTTGTTTTTAGTTTTTGAGAAGTTCTGAAGACATTCAAATGTGATCACATCATAATAGCTAATCCTAAAAATGGGTTTATTTTACTTACTGTTGGTTATAAGCAAGTGACACATTTGACCTCAGTTACTTCTAAGATAGTTAGGTCAGCCACTAACACAAAGGGAGAACTGAAAATATTTTTAATTAGAAAATGAAAGTTTTTTGAAAGAAAAGTAATAGCTTATTAATGATACAAGTTAGATAAATCTTTTCATTCCAGGATCAGAAGAGTAATATTTAGATTCTTCAGGAATGAAACCCAGTCCGATAAGTAAAGCAAATAGTGTCTTAAGGATAGAATGTAGGGAATGTGTATCTCTTAATGATTTTGGATATAAAATGAATGCTAATGAAAACCAGGTGGAGTATAATTGTACATATGATAAACTGGCAGTTTTCTTCTTCCAAATGTTTATTGCTATAAAACCTTTTTATGTTTACTTTTTGGAGCAGCCATAAAGTTCTCTATTAAGTAGATGTTCAGTAAATATTTACTGAATGAATGAAGTCACTATGATTTCATTCATTTCAGGGAAAAAGGATATAAGACAAAAGGATTTGGTGTCAGTATTAGTCTTTCTCTCTTCTCTTTGTTCAGCTTTTTGATGGTCACTTTGATACCAAGATTGGACATAAAGTGGAGAGTGAGAGTTACCGAAAGATTGCAGATAGCATTGGGTGCTCAACCAGCAACATCTTGTTTCTGACAGACGTTACTTTGGGTGAGTAATAATCAGACATGGGGTTTTTTTGGCGATGGGGTCAGGCTGGCCTGGAACTCCTGGGCTTAAGCAATCCTCCTGCCTCATCCTCCTGAGTTGCTGGGACTACAGGCACATACCACCGTGCCCACTGGACTTCTTATGTTATATATTCCAGGGGAGGAGCCTGGCCTGGTACTATGAACACATTTCTTTTAAGAAAGTTTATGTGGGGATCCTTGAAAAATATAATAATGTATAAAAAGAAATGGTGAACCATCTTGTCCACTTCTGTCTCCATTTATTAATCCTTGGAGGTTGCCACTCTGTGTGCACAAATGGAAGACCTAGGGTATCACTGGGGTGGAGCACACTGGCAGGACTATAGGTCATGGTTAGTTAAGGGCAGTAAAGTTACAGCGAACCTGTACCAAATACATTTAACAAAAGTGAGGCTGGCTCTAGACTTAGGAAAAAGAGACAGAGACAGAGAGAGAGAGACAGAGAGAGAGACCAGGTTGTAAATCTCAGGTGGATTCACAGTGTAAAAATGCACATTATTTTACCCAGCCCAGCCCTCTTTATTAGGCATAGTACATTAGTATTATACATTATCACTTTAAGGGTTGAATGCACGCAACAGTGCAGTTTGTTTTACTGGCAATAGAAATGATTTCTGTAGTACTTTCCACCACGTTGAACACTCACACAGCAGTGTCTGTAAGAATGTGAGTCCTCTAGGGAAATACAGAAGGAAGAGTCAGTGAATGAGGGAACCAGAAGCACAGGCGTACAGGAAGGTGGGTCTTCCTTGCCGCCGGCCCCTGGGCAGAGAAGCTTTCCACACTCTCCCACCTGGCTCCCGCCTTTGATTGCATCTCCAGTGGGCCGGCTTCTGGTGTTTGTAATTGTGCTTGTGTTTCAGGGCAGTTCTCTATATTTGTGTTCTTTCCCTTCTACCTTGAGTTGTAAATTTCTCAGGGACTGAGATCACACCCTCACTTACTCCCAGAACAGGACTTTGTGTACTGTGCTGGGACTCTCGATAAATCTCGACTATGTCTGTGACAGGGACATAGGCTGGTGTATTAGTCAGCTTTCTTATTGCTGGCACCAAATATCCCACACCTCCAACCTAAAGGAGAGGTTTATTCAGCTCACAGTTTCAGAAGTTTCAGTCCATGACTGGCTGGCTCCAGGGCAAGAACATCATGGTGGAAGAGCCTGGCAGAGCAAAGCTGCTTAGGTCATGGCAGCCAGGAAACAGCAGGGCCAGAGAGGAAGGGCAAGGTGCACCCACCCTGACACACCTGGAAGTGAGTTACTAATCCCCTAGGTGGCTCCCAAGCCAATCAAGTTTATAGTCAACCTTATTGGAGTGCACCACTGTGCCTAGCTTCAGTAATTAATACCTTTGTTAAATGTCAGTCCTTGGAAAGTGGACTGAAATTTTAAATCTAGGTAACCAGTAGCAATTCACAGTGATTTCCTACCTTAAGATTTGGAAACTCAGGGCCGGGGATTTAGCCCAGTGGTGCCGCACCTACCTTGAAAGCCAAGGTCCTGAGTTCGATCCCCGGTTAAAAAAAAAAAAAAAAAAAAAGATTTGGAAACTCAGCAGATTTAGTGGGATTAGTGAGATCAGCCTCTTTCCCGTGTGTCCCTGCTTGGGTCAGCTTCTGAGTTCAAGGATTTCTATAAATTGCTCATTTTTTCTACTTCCTGGAAAGCTTGCTCTCACATATCTGAGTGCACCAGAGGAGACAGACAAGCTGCTGCAAGGTTTATTGTTAACTAAGTTGCCAGGCCATGGGAGAGGAAGCATCAGTGAATGTTAGCCTCAGCCACTGCCATTTCTCCCGGCCTCCTCTCCCCTGAGCTGTAAATGGATCATAAATGTTTGCCAATCATGTTTGTATATGGAACCTTCTGCAGTTTCCAGCAGCAGTGTAGCCTTGGGTGGCTTTTGGGAATTAGAGTGGTACTGTTGAAGTTGCCTTACTTACTAGAGGGTAAGGTAGTGGTGTGCCAGCAGTTTCTGTGAATGAGGACAGTTGGAGAACTGTTGCTCTTTTATTCCTCATGGAAAGGAAAAAGGTCTTGTTCTGGTGAGTTTAGCTCGTTTAATCTGCATTTCTTTATTCACATAATGGAAACTGTTGGAAATAAAGCTCTACAGTTTACTTTACACTTAATTACCTTAGCACATTGTTGTTGTCTGTTCTTTGATTTTTTGGAGCCATGGTCTTGTGTAGTTCAGGCTGGCCTTGAGCTCACTGTTTAGTCCAGGCTGGCCTCAAACTTGCAGGCCTCCTGAGTGCTAGGATTATAGGCATTTATAGTTGTGTGCCACCATGCCTGGCTGCCCAAGCACTTTAGATGGTAGATTTCTTCATGCTTAGAATTAAGGACTTGCTTTGGGTTAGAATTCCCCACCCAGTCAGCCATTTCTCTGATCAAGTATGATTCAGTGTGGGATCCCTGGACTCTCTCCATCCCCTGCTTTTTGGTTATTGACTATAATGCCTCTCTCAGATAAGACTACATGTAGTTTCTTCATATTCTTGTCTTTAGCCTTTTTCTAGTCATATATCTATAATTTTAGGTCTTTCTGTTCTCACCTAAGCCATTTCCTTAGGTTGCAGTTCCAGAAAATATTTTTTTTTTTTTGGTACCGGGGATCGAACTCGGGTCCTTCCGCTTGCGCAGCAGGTGTCAAAACCACTGAGCTAAATCCCTGGCCCACCAGAAACTATTTCTAACTCCAAAGAATAGCAATAATCCTAGCATTAGCCTCGAAATGAAACTGGCTTCTTCTTTAGTACTCTGTATGAAGGTTTTATTCCTGCCACTCATCTTTGCCAGTCCCATGCATGTTAGGCGCAAGAGACAGAACTGGATCACATGTGGTGGGGTTGAGCCTGGTAGTTGCCTCGCTTTTCCTGTCACCTGTGGGCCTGTGTCTTGGTGGCACACACCCAGACTCCCACTGCCAAGGCACCCTCAGAAGGCTAAGTTGGTACCCAGATGATACCCAAGTATGAAAGAGAAAATGGAAGATGTTCTCCTTGGAGAAGAGCAAAGGAATCCAGAGTTTGATGTCAATGAATACTCAAGTGTCTCAATATTTACCAAAAGAGCAAACATGCTGAAGGGAAAAACTTCCCTCCTCAGAAGTGCCTAACTGGGAGCAGCCATTGGCTGGCTCCCCTGTCATCCTGACTCCTGGCCAGGACGAAGCTTTGCCGGGCAGTCAGGCTTGGGAGGTGGGGCAAGAAGGAGCTGCCTGTCTGCTGGACTCTCTCTGGGACTCGGGAAAAGGACAGGGTGTTGCAAAGCAGAGCCAGAGATGGCTGGTGGGAAGACGGTTCTTCCCTGTGGGGTCTCTCCAGGAGCACCTCTGGCTCTGCACTGCCCCTGCAGTTAGCCCCAGAGGCTGAGAAAGTGTCTCCCAATAGTCCAAGCCTTGTTTCCTAGAACACACACCAGGTTTTCACCTGGTGTCCGCCTGTCCCAGGAAGTCAGCTCTCACCACGCACCCATGTCCTGTTCCCACTCCAGCTGCTTTGTGCTTAGTGTTTACTTGTGTGCTTTTTATTCCCACCTAGAATTACTCCTCTCTCTATGAGTTTTCTTTTTCTGAAGCTTTTGATCCTGCTCTTTGTGTGTGGAGGAATCGTGTGGATCTTGATTCAGTTGTTCCACGTCAGGGTGCAGGTGGGTCTTCCACCTGGGGTGTCAGTGCCCAAAAGCACTGGCAGGCTTTTCCTGTAAAGGCCACAAGTAGTTGCTGCAGCCTTTGAGGTGGTAGCTTCTCTGTCCCAGCTGTTCGACTGTCCTTGCAGGGCCAGGCAGTCATACCCACATGAATGGGTGTGGCTCTGTACCACAGCAGGTGGTAGCCTGTCATTTGCCAACCCCTTTTCCAGAGCACAGACCAGGAAGTTGGGCTGAGGTTGGAGTTTAACCTGGCCACTTGCTGGCTCTCGGTTTCTGTATGTGTAAGGTGTGGATAATGATACCGGCTTCCTCAGGTTGCTGTGCAGATTTAGATGAGAATGGGCACTCCATTAGGCAGGAGCTTTGTTTTGTTCACATAGCTCTGGTCCCGGAATAGTACCTAGCACTTAGGAGGTGCTAAATTAATGGAAGGGATTAGCTGTTATTTTTCAAATAGAAATAAAGTGGAGAGAGCAGTGCAGCTCAAGGTATACTAGAGATATCCCTTGGAATATGTTGTTTACCTAGCTTAATTCCTGTTTTTGTTTGTTTGTTTGTTTTGGTACTGGGGGATCGAACTTAGGACCTTGTGCTTGCAAGGTGGGCAGCGGCACCACTGAGCTGAATCCCCAGCCCAGACTACTAGACTACTCTTGTTTTTTTTTTTTTTGGTACCAGGGATTGAACTCGGGTCCTTGTGCTTGCGCAGCAGGCGGCAAAACCACTGAGCTAAATCCCCGGCCCGACTACTCTTGTTTTTATTCTACCGTTCACACACAGAGTCACTGATACTCAGGCACTCATAGAATAGTGAGGGGAGAAACGACAATTTACAAAAGTTCATTTATGTTTTTATGACAGGGAAATACAGGTGTTAGAGAAGATGTGCTAGTAGAGATGATGGTGGCTCTGGAAAACAATGTTTGAACTGAATTTTGAAGAGTAGGAATTTTCCAGGCAGAGGGAACAGGTAGTGTAGGGAGGGTGTGTGACATGTCGGGGCTGGTGTGACAATAGGTACTTCGGCCCATCTGGATCATAGGATTCCTTTCATCCGGAATCTGCTTCATCAGTGTGGTTACCTGTACCTGCCCTTCCGGAGATAGCTCAGGTCTTTCTTGGTAGGACCCATGGGAGAGAGTAGAGGAAGATGGACAAATGGAATGCACCTCTGTCTTCCTGCACTCATAGATAGTGCAGTTAATAAAGCTTGGAAGTGTAGGATATGCTTCCATTCTTCTGGGAACAATTAGGCCATTTTTAAACATGGAGCTGAAACATACAAGGAGAGGAAAATGTGCTTATCTTCTAGTGTCAACAAAAATCAGGCCCAAATTCGCTGCTGCTGTTGTCACGTCCCCCGATAATGTTGGTGCAAATCTCAGCCATTGTGGTTTCTGACCCATTCCACAGAGGCCAGTGCTGCTGAGGAAGCGGATGTGCACGTAGCTGTGGTGGTGAGGCCTGGCAATGCAGGGCTGACAGATGATGAGAAGACTTACTACCGGCTCATTACCTCCTTCAGTGAGCTCCGTCTGCCTTCATCCTCATAGACCCTCAGTGTCTAGCTTTATTCTGATGGTATGTGTGTGCTCAGATTCATTTCCATGGGCACATGGTGAAAAAACGTCCTCGGCCCATTGAAAATGAAGCTTACTTAAAGATGCTTTATATGGAGACACTGTTTTAGATCATAACTATCCCTTGTTGAAAGCAAAGTGTAATTGATAGAAATTGCTAAAATACAGATCGAATATGTTAGGTTTATCTGGTCATTACCAAAATGGAAAGCCAGTTATTATTCAGAAGTCTTTATTTTTAATGGCAAATAATGTCAGAGAGATTGCCAATAATAATTCATAGCCTCTGTGTAATTGAGTTACAAGATTATATCAGTTGCATTTTATATTTGTCTCCCTGTGTATAAATGAAAAAGTTACCTATTTCTGTTCCAAAAGAGCAAAATTGGGAAAGAAAAATTAACTAGAGCATTGATCAATCAAGTATTTGTTACATAAGAAGAGATTTGCTAATCATATGGCTCCCACACCAAGCACTTGGTCTCTCAATGAAAAAGTGCACTGATTCAACAACTGAAAGGGAAGTGTAGCACTTAACGCTTAACAGAATAGCCCTAATCCTGCCGGTTGTTATCATCATAGATTTTACAGTTGCCTTTTTAACTATGTCTTAGCACAGTTTGAGAATATATGTCAATTGCTATTTACTGTTTTTTTAATTTACTGAAATAAGCCCGTAACATCAAAAAGAGCTGTAGTACATAATATTTTCTTCTGAAATGGATGTGAGAAATGTAAATTTTATAACAGCATTAGTTATCTTGGTTCATTTCTAATATTACATGTCGGTTTCATGCTGTGATTAATAAAAGCATTTCCTTCTCAAGTTTTGTACAAGTTGCTGAACTGTATCACTTACTGCCAAAAGCAAAAGAGACACTGAGACTGAAGGGAGATTGAAAAAAAATAACAATTTTATTTTGGTATTTGTCTTTATTGTGTGTGATGTGTGTATACTTCATGGGAATGCCAGAGGAAGCCCCAACTAGCATTTGAATCATGTATACATATATGGTTAGGATTTCATTTGGGTAGTAAACATTCAGTATATGAGTGGGGTTTCTTAGATTTTTGGGAATTTCATAAGTATATAAGATGATGCTTGAAGGAAGGAGATGTTTTCCTAATTAAACAAGAAAAACTGTAAGGGATCCTAGAGGAATAATTTTAGAAATCCTTTGAATAAGAAAAGGAAATAGTCTTGCAAATAAGAGAGAACAGGGGAGAGACATGAAATAGTTTATATCGTTAATTTTGATCTTCTAGTAGCTAAGAAATCTAAAGGCTATAAAAATATACAAGAGTAGAAAAACAGAAATGAGTTTCAATAAATCTTAGAAATGGGAGTAATTTGTAAATGATAAAACCATGAATGGCAGTAAGGGAATGACGTTGATTTTTCTGGACAAGCTTGTGGGCAAACAGGACAACAGAGTGTCCCTTAGTAAAGTACAGGGAAATGAAAGAGTAAGGAAGAAATAAGAGAGGATTTTGCATCAGACTTGAAGGTAGAAAGGAATTGGAGGCACTCAGTTCTAGCCAACTGCGAATGGGAGAGTAGTCCACTATGGAGAGAGTTCTAGAAAAGCTGTAGTTTACACTGAGAAATGAGGACAGAAAAACAGATTGAGGAATTAAGAGAAAGGTGAAATATTAGATTGAATTTGTCAAAGTGGGGCATGTAAGGAAGGGAAAACAAAGTGGGTGAAAAAATTTTAGATTCAAAGAACCCCTTCACACTTGTGTAGTGGAGAGGATCTTTGGAAAAACCTGAGAAATAAAGCAGAAAAAGGATGGTTTCTTCCTCTTCGTAACCTAAGAAAGTGAGTAATGAAGCTTAGTGTGGTGGCTCAAGCCAGTAATCCCTGCACTCTGGGAGGCGGAAGCAGGAGGATCAAGAAACTTACTGACCTAGTGAGAACCCATCTCAAAAAATAAAAAAAGTGCTGGGGGTGCAGCTCAGTGCTACTCCCACCCCCAAAGACATGTAGAGTAATGAATTAGGTAAATCCAAATAAATTCATGGTCTTTAGGAAGTGAAGGAAAAAAAAAATCTCTGAAACTCTCACAAATGAGAATAAAGGCCTTAAATTTCCTTGGCATCTTATTTGCAGAAAACACAGAGTACAAAGGACTCTGAAAGTGTTGACTCTTTATTTCTGCCTGTTAATCAAGATCTATTTGAGTTGTTCTTTCGCACGATAGCCCTGATTTCCCAAGTCTGTAGGCACTCTAATCTTGTGGGCCTTCTGTAGTAGAAGGGCACCTGATCGCCCTTTTGGAAGGCCCACCTTACCTGCTAAGCCTCACACATGTTGAGTTGAGCGGAATTCACCGCCACAGGCCCACTGCCAAGGCCGATGCACTGCAGATGTTGCCCAGAAGATGGTGCTGTTTCTACAGAGACGTCATCAAGTGTGAGGCCACCAGTTATACCACATGAGGCTAAGAGGGAGCAGCAGCATGAGGGAAAAATGAGTGTAGTTCATTTAGCCCTGAAATCAAATAGCAGGATATTGTAAGAGTCAGAGAAGTTTGAGAAAAGTGACAATAATTTCAAATGAAATCTACCCATTTCTATCTCTCTTCCTGACTTTGTCCCTTGAGACACATTTTAAAAAATGAGGGCCAGGGATTTAGCTCAGTGGTTCTGCCGCCTGCCTCTCAAGCTCAAGGTCCCCAATTCCATCCCCGGTACCAAAAAAAAAAAAAAAGAGAAGTAATTTGGGTGATTTGGGGGTAATTTTTCCAGCAGCAGTGTGAAGAGGGTTTATTTCCATTCCTGTCAGTTTAAAAGTTAAAATAATACGTGCCCAACCAGTTTGCTATCTTGTCACCCACCCTTGAAGGCAGTGAGGCATTTATCCTTCAGCTAATATTTAAGAGTAAAGGTTTTGCTAATACACTCAGAATGACCCTAACAAGTAAAATTCATCTTCTTTACAAATTGAACCCACATTCATTGTTAAATATTAAGCATCTACAGTGTCCTTCAGATGTGCACATTTTTTCCACATTACCTCTATTCAGAGACTACAAAAAATTAGATACAGTATTGGTAAGTGTTCTGCAGAGAACATAGATACAATGGCTTTTACCAGGAAGTGGAGGAATTGTGACCATTGAAGACGAGGTGTGGAAGAAGCCAGGGAAGAGCAGCCTATGCACAGGGACCTGTGTGGAGCAGAAATCTGAGGCAGAGTGTGGCCCATGCTGCTGGATGCATCAGAGAAGTGCACAGAAGTGGATCCTTACAGCCTGCTGCCCTGGGAAAGGGCTGGAATTGTGGTTTAAGTGTGATGGGAAGCCACCAGAGGATTTGAGCAGAAGATGCTATGAGTGATTTACAGCTTTAAGGAACTCTTTGTTGGGTAAAGAATGGGTTATAGATGAGCAAGAGTGAATGCAGGAATGCCTGGTAACATCCCTTTAATTACAGGCACATCCCTGTAATTCTAGCACTCCAGGAGGCTGAGGCAGGAGAAGCGTGTGATCAAGCCCAGCCTGGGCAACTTAATGATGTAGTAAGACCCTATCTCAAAATGAAAAAGGGCTGGAGATGCCTTCTCAGTGAGAAGGTGCTGGGTTCGATCTCCAGGGATGCCCCCCCCCCCCCGCAAAGAAAAGAATGGATGCAGGAAGACCAGGTATATCAGGATTGAATGCTAGAGGAAAAACCTCTTTAGGGGTATTTTAATCAGAAAGGAATTTAAAACAAGGAGTAAGATGATTTGCAAAATCAGTGGAAGGACTAGAGTAGGTATGAGAAATGCCCCAGGAGTCTTGTGTTGAAGGAGACCCCACGGTGGGGAGTTCAGGGAGCCTGCCTCCATTGCCACCACTGCTCACTCTGGAAAGCTGGCTAGATGCTGATCCACTGCAGCGTTTCCAGACAGGACCTGTAATATTGCTTAGCAACAGCAGTGGCCTTGGGAAGATTGCCTCTGTCATGCTTCTCTTTACAACTGCTGCTATATATCATTGATGGTGTCCTACTGCAACTTAGAACTCTACATGTAAGATCTTCCAACTCCAATTAGCGGGTAAAATGGCATTTGAGAGAGTTTGCTGGATCTAGGATAGAAGGCTATTGCAGTAATCAAGGTAAGGGATGGTAGTAGCTTGTTTTAGAGTACCATAGTGCAAATAGAGATGGACAGATTAGGAATATAGTTCAGAGATGTCAATGACTGCCCCTGTTGATTGGATTTGAAAGAGTAACCTCTAGACTCTTAGCTTGAGCAACTGGATGGATGGCATTACTGGAAAAACAGCTGTACCACTGACATAACATGAAGCTGCGAGAAGCCAATGTATACACTGATGTAAGTGACTGAAGAGCCATTGAGTATAAGTCTACAATTCAAGATCCTGGCCTGGCTGTAGACCTGATTTGAGAGTTCATTGGCACAGAGGATACTAAAAGCCATGGGACATGGCAGAGTCTTTTGAGAGAAGAGAGCCTGGACCAGTGGTGGCGAATCTATGGCACAGGTGCCACAGTGGGCTGTTTGTATCATTGGAAGCTCTGAAAAGCTCATCGTCACTGGCCTAGACAGAGCCTTTAGGTTCCCACAGTAGAGATCAAGCCAAGGAAGGAACCAGGAAAAGAGATTGGAAACTAAGCAGAAACCAGGAGACTGGTAGGGGAGGTGTGAAGAAGGTGGGGTGCACTCACACTGGCACTGCCCAAAATCCAAGGAACTGGAGGGTAGCCTGGCCCTTGAGTTGGATGAGGGCAGTCTCTGGAGAAGGGAGAAGAGGTTAGTTCACATCGAAGAGACTATGAGATCCCGCTGAACATTTATCAATTTTGTTGATTTTTTCAAAGAAACAACTTTTGGTATTTCAAATTCTCTATTTTGTTTATATCTACTCTTAGTCTTTCCTTCTGCTTTCTGTGGGTTTAGTTTGCTCTTTTTTTCTTGTTTCTCAAGGTGAAAGGTAAGGTAATTATTTGAGGTCTTATTTTTGTTCAGTTTAGTTTGCAGTGCTGGGGTTGAACCTAGAGCCTTGCACATGCTATGGCTGAGTTACATCCCAGTCCTAGATGTTTTTTTAATGCAGGCGCATACACCTCTGAATTCCCTGCTCAGCTCTACTGTCATTGCATCCATACCTTTTGGGATGTTGTTTTTATTTTTTGTTTTTGTTTTGCAGTGTGAGTGACCACACCCAAGCCCTTGGCTCCCTAGGCAAGCACTGTCCCACTGACTGCATCTGCAGACCCTATTGTGTCTTATTTTCTTTCTCTTGAAGTATTGACTTCTTCCTTTATCTGCTGGTTGTTTTAAGAGTATATTGTTTAGTTTCCACGTATTTGTGAATTATCTGAAGTTCCTTTTATTAATGCTTTCATTGCATTACCCTTGGAGAACATACTTTGTACAATTTTGATCTTTTTATATTTATGGCCTTACATAAAATTTGTTCTAAAGAATGTTCATTGTGCATTGGGGATATGACAGGTGAAGTGTTGGATATATATGTTAGGTCTATTTGAATCTTCTGTTTCCTTGGTGCTCTGTCTAGTTGCTCTATCAATTAATGATCATGGAGTATTGAGTTCTCCATCTACTATGATCAAACTGTCAGTTTCTTTTCTCATTTTTATTTTTGCTTCGTATATTTTGGTGCTCTGTCTTAGTTACTTTCTTGTTGCTGGAATAAAATAACCAACACCCCCAATTTAAACGAAGAATTTTATTTTAGCCCACGTTGTAGAGGTTTCAGCTCCAAGGCAGGGAGGTATGGCAGAGGTGAAATAGTCCATCGCAGGGCCAGCAAGAGGCAAGAAGCAGTGAGCCTGCCTTCTTTCTGTCCCTTTATATTCCAGGCAGGCTGTAAGCCTACTGGCTGGTGTGCCACCCATACCCGGGTTGGGTCTTCCTTCTTCAGTAAACCCAGCATCCACACCC